GCGCATCAGGGTTGGAGGAGCTCCCCTACACTCTCCCCTAAACGCTCCCCACCCCATCCTGAATACCAGCACACACCCCTCTCACCTGCTTGTGCTTCTGCACCTTGCCCTCCAGGCGCTGCCGCTCCACCTTCACCTCCGCCAGCTCCTCCCGCAGCGACTCCCCGGCCTGCCCCGCCTCCGCCAGCCGTGCCCGCAGCGCCGCCGCCTCCTCCTCCGCCGCCGCCAGCGCGGCCGCCAGCTGGCCCTCGCCGGCCGCCTCCTGCTGCTGCAGGGCCGCCACAGAAGACTCCAGGTCTCCAACCAGCGCCTGCAGCCGCCCGCGCTCCTCCTGCGGCAGCGGCAACGCCAGGCATGAGGCGGCAGGCATGAGGCGGCAGGCTGCGGGGGTGCAGATTCAGTTGAGCCCCCGCCCCCACCACACACACACCACCACCACACACACACCCGGCACCGCCAGCGGCTGCACCAATGGCGGCGGCTTAATTCCCTCCTCCTCCCCAGCAGCCCTCCTCCCCTCCTCCCTCCCCCCTGCTGCCGCACCGCCCGCCCCTCTTTGCCCATCAGGACCTCCCCCTGCCGCCTCCCACCCCCACCTGCGCCTCCTGCAGCTCCTTCTCCACCTGTCGGCCCCGCCACCGCGCTTCCTCAAGCTGTGGCACCAGCCGCTCCTTCTCCTCCGCCACAGACACAAGCTCGTCCTCGGCATCCCTGGCAGGACGAAGAGGGGTGGGGAGGTGGTGGGCGGTGCAGGGGTTGGGGGCACGGCGCACAGGCAGGGCAGGCAGGCAGGTACATCTGGCCGGCAGTAGGGAGATGGGTGGGCCAACCACGGCGCAGGGACGCCGGCACTGGTGCGTTGCGGGTGCCCAGATGCCCATGCCTGCGCCCGCCCCCAACCCGCCCTCACTTGAGCTGCTGCTCCTGCCGCGCCGCCAACTCGCTCATGTGGTCCAGCTCCCGCTGCATCAGGTCGTTCTGCGGGCGGGTGGCGGCGAGGGAGGGTGGAAGTGAGAGATTTTAGTAGTGGGAGGAGAGGCTGGGTGGCGAGAGAGGGTGGTAGGTGCGTGGGCAGGCAGATGTGCTTCTGGTGCGCCAGAGGCAAGGCAGGCAGCGGGCCACGCCCCATCTTCAGCCTTCAGCCATTTATATGTCAGTGTGGGTTTCGGCAGCGCTTGCCGGGCGGCCCGTTGAAGGGGGGGGCAGCCTGCAGCCGCACCGCCTCCTCCCTCCCTCGCGGCTCACCTGCGTCTGCAGCTCCCGCACCCTCGCCTGCAGCGCATCCGCGTCGCTCTCCGCCACGCTGGAGGGCCGGGGCGGCGGCAGCCGCAGCGCGCCGCCGGGGGGCAGCTCCTCCTTCCCCTCCTCGTCCTCGCCTGCAGGCACGGCAGGCGGCAGGGTGGGGTGGAGGGAGACCAGGAGGCACCAGGCTGGGGCGGGCAGGCGTGGCCCGTCCGAGCATGGGGTGATCCAAGGGATAAGGCCCTGCATTCTGCTGCTGTTCTCTCATGCACCGGGAAGCGAGGAGGAGCCACAAATGCTGCGGCAGGCCTGCCCCCTGCCGCACCCCGGCCTCCCCGTCACCAGCCCGCCCCCACCTGTGCGCTGGTGCTTGTGCGGCGGCGAGCCGCTGCCGGCGGCCGCGCCCAGGCCCGACCCCACGCTCTGCCGCTCCCGAAGCAGCAGCAGCGCGGCACCGTCGCTGCGGCGGGAGGCGCCCTCGCTCGGTGCCTCCCCCTCCTCCTCCATTAGCTCTGCCAGGTTGGGCATCAGAGGCCGCTTGCGGCCGCCAGCTGCGCACACGCGGGCCAGGCGCGGCAAGAACGGGTTTGCATATATGCAGGGAGCAGGTCGGGCCGCCGCGGTACTGCTGCTGCCAAGCCTGCGCAACCTCTCTCGCCGCTCCCTGCCCGACTTGTAGCCGAGCGCCGGCATGCAGCATCCCGGCCCTGCCAGGCACCTCCGGCCGCTGTCGCCGCCGCCACCTTTCATGCACTTCCAGCTCTCGCCCAGCCCCCAACCCAATCTAATGCGCTGCCATGCACTGGCAGCCGCCCCGCCGCCGCCGCACCTGCCCCCGGGCACCACGTCTCGCGCCGGTTCTCGCGCCGCGGCTTGCCGCCGGAGCCGGGCGCGGCGCGGCCGCCCTCGCCCAGCATCAGGCGCGTCATGTTGTCCACCTTGCGCTGTGGTACAGGATGGTACCGCCAAGCAAGCAGTAGAAAGCGTGTCAGCGCACATACGGAGAGCACCCACAGGTCAATATCAACCATAACTAGTTACAACGCCCCCCGCGGCTCATCACCGTGTAACCCCGGCCGCCGCCGCACCCTTCAGGTGCAAACCAAACAAAAGCTCCCCAGCTGCCGCCGCCCGCTCCATCCCCGCCGGTGTCACCCGCGCCACCACCACTGCCAGAGGCCACCGCCACGACCACCAGCCGCCGCCATCCCCTCCCCCACGCCCCCCACCTGCGCCCGCTCCCGCTCCTCCTTCTCCGCCGCCAGCTGCAGCCCCATGCGCTCGTTGTCCTGGTCCTTGCGCAGCAGCTCGGCTCGCAGCCGGTTGATCTCCTCCTCGATGTGCGTGTTGCTGCGGGGAGGGAGGGAGTGTCAATTGACAGACAGACAGAGAGTGTGTGAGTGATTGGCCGGGATGTAGCCATGTCTGAGCACCGCCGCCACCCTCCTCCAAGCAGCCGCCACGCACCCCGTGCCAAGCCTGGCCCGGCCTCCCCGCCGGCCGCCGCCGCCGCCCGCCCCCAGCCCTGCGGCAATCGCGCCCCGGCAGCCACCCACCCGGTGCCCTGCAGCATGCGCCGCAGATCCTCGATCTCCCGCGCCTGGCGCACCAGCACCGCCGCATCCGACAGCACCTCGTTGACGGTGGCGTTGTTGACCACGCGCTTGGCGCGGCACGCAAAGCGCAGCGTGCTGCGGGGGGGCGGGCAGGGAGCGTGGTGGGGTGGGTGGGTGGGTGGTGGGGCCGGCCAGGGAGGTATGGAGGGCCGGGGTTCCGGAGACACGCACGCACACACACACGTGCACACACGCAGCACCCCCCCCTGCCGTGCCTGTGCGTCTCCTCCACGTGCACCACGGCGGGGGTGCAGGCGCAGATGATGGCGGTCTTGGCGTTCCCGCCCAGGCTGGGCTGCAGGATGCGGGTGAGCTTGGAGTCGCGGTACGGGATGTGGCCGCCTGCGGTACGGGTCGGTACAGCAGTACACGTCGTTCTTACGGTGGCCATGGACGCTGGGTCGCAGG